GAATGAAGCAGGGCATATACTCGGAGAATGATAGCCCAGAACGGCAGTGGGAATAGCAAGGGCAAGGGCAGGGACACGACTAGGAAACTTAGAAGCCAGCTGGCAACCAGAGCTGAGAAATGCAGACCGAGCAACTGGAAGAGGAAGGATTGTAAGGGCCTTGGAAAAAGTGATAGTGGACCGAGCACTGCAGCGTGGGAGATGACAGCGGAGTCGGTAGATGGACGGACGCCGGGGCTCTCGGTGGCAGGAACGGAAAGGTTAAGGGGCGGGAATGACATGGGCGTACCTTTTTCAGGGCCTTATAGTTGACAAAGCTGGCAGCATATTCGGGCACCTCAAGCTGACGCTTCTGGATCTGCTTGCCAAACTTCCTATAGGAGAATGTGAGTAAGCTATGCGCTCATAGTACAGGCCATGACGGCGGAGTTGTCGTTCGTCTGCGAAGAGCTTCCAGCTCAGAGTGGGCTCTTGAAGGGTCCCTGAACCACTGCGAGCTGGACAACTGTCGACGAAGAAAACGAGCAAGGAAGTACGGATATATCTTACATGTTGCGGCGTGGGCGCCCGCGGGAGCTCTTGGTGACTTAGAGGGCAGACGAGGAAGCGGATAGGTGACAAGGAATGGCTGACTTGGGCGATCACTGTTTGGAGGGAGAAGTGAGCGAGGATGTGTGGCTGAAATATGCGAGTTTCAGTGTCAGTTACAGCGTCCGTGTGGTATCTTGCGTGTGTTTTGTGTGTATGTGCAACAGTGCAGTGTTGAGGGGGAGGGTAGGTAGGTAGGTAACGAAATAGAGAACAGCCAGGAGCGGAGACATGACCAGGTCAAGCAAGACAGAGACCAGAGCAAGGAAAGGCGTCTTTGAGAAGCTCCATAAAGATGCACATGAAAGATGAGCCGGGCATTAAAGGTGCATGTCAAAGTCGGACCAAGATCAGCTCAGCCCAGACCAGACCAGGCAGAGTTGTTGAAGAGCCCCGGTGGAGTGTGAGTTGAGACCCTGTGGATGCGTCCCGTTTCTTCACAGCAACGCAAGCAACCACTTCCAAGTAATTCCACTTCTCTTTTCCTCTCTTGCACAAGCCTGTCATGTATAGAATGACACACACACGATAAACGCCCGGTTTCTTCAGGATCTTTGCTTGGACCTTGACCCATCACCCGACAGCCCGGTTATCCTTAGACAACGTCCGAGATCGACTCCTGTAGGGCACGTGGGGGGGTACCTTGACCAAAGTCTATGCCATCACTTTGGCTAGGCCAGCGGCGTGAGAAAGGGCGTGAAGTGCTGACGAAAAAACGCTCGCGAATAGCGTGGCCTCCAAGTGTGTGAATATAGAAACGAGATGCAGTTTATGGGTAAGGGTTCGCTAGAATCATGAGAGTGAAGGATAAGGCAGGGTTGAATCGGATTGGATTGGATACGATATTGGAGATCCTCACTCACCAAAAGCCGAGGCACTTGCTCTCGAAGACTCAGTCAGTAAAGCACAGACCGGTAGTCAAATCAATAGTATTCCTTGATTGTTCCAAGCCTGTCAAAAGGCCTTGTTCGTTGTATGTCAAGCCTTGAAAGGGAGCGGAGTCCACTGAGACGAGGCTGGACTGGCTAAGATTGTTGAGTCCCGTAAGTTGACTCAAGTCGACGTGACGTGGATCCGAGGCGTGTTCAAAAGCGGCAAGTGATTTTAACAACAACAATTTCTTCTCTCCAATAGGAAGACCTCCAATTGTATTTGGTAAGAGAAGACTTCAGAATAAAATCAACGTCGCGGTGATGGTGTTTTTTTATTATGTCAAAAGACGAACTTGATGGGAACCAAAAAACTGCCCCTCTATGGATGCTCTAAGGTAAAGGAAAGCACAAGCTCAGCCCAGTGAGTGGCACCTGCAACAAGACGGTCAACCAAAATGGTAAAGGAACCATTCACCAAAAAGAAAGAAGCGGGGACATGAAATGACATAGATTGACTGTTTATAGCGTCTGAACTCCCTGGGTCTAAGCAGTAAATGACCTCGTGCCTTGAATGGTTTCCTTTTTACTTGCTCATTCTCCTCTTTCTCGACTCGATCACGACTCTCATGGTCCCACGAAGTTACCAGCATGGCGGGGCAATTCAAAAGTTCAAGTCGGTGACTTGTTCCGCCCAGCTAGTCCCCTAACAAGCCACCACCACTCCGCCCTGATTCGGAAGATACACTACCATCAAGCATAAGGTCCCGAACAAGCATCCGCTAATCTCAAGCCGTCCGTTGAACGATCCGCACATCCAATGACCGTCTCGTATCCGACCCCGTGCTCGAGCGACAGGCGGTCCGGCTCACAGCTCCGGGCCATATCTCCATCTTTAGCTGTGCGATGCAATGCAATGCACGAGCCTGTCTCCTGTGCATCGCAACGGGACCTGTCGGCTGTTTCTCCGCGTACTTCTTCCACTTACGTTACAATAATGATTTCAATGACCTGCCTTGTTTCCATTGGTAAAGCCGAGACGGAACGTCATGGAGCAAGGGGTCTCGAGAGGCTCCAGACTCAAGAGGGAGTGACTGTACAGCTCCTGGGAAATTTCTTATGTCATTTTCCCCCATCTCAGCTCCATCACCATAAGGACTTGCACGACTCGAGGCACGTCTCCGTTTCCTAGTTCATGAGTAAGGAATGAATAATCTTCAGGCTTGCTCTATGCCTGTCACTGTTGACATTGGTTGGGCAAACACAAAAATCCACTATGTGAGAGCTCTTATCGTCGTGTGTCCTACGGAACTGGATATGCTATGCAAGCCAAGGAACGAACACCGAGTCCGCGCCGACGCCTCATGATATCGTCACTCTAGAACAGTCACGGGTCATGATGCACAATGTGGAAGGACAGCAGAGTAGGCAAAACCAGGAAAAGAAAGGCTACTATATGCTATCTACTGAACCGTCGTGAAGTACGATCCGGAGCTATAACCATAAACAGACCACCCATGTTTGCTATGACAGCGAGAGTGGCACCAAACTCTTCGACTATGGTGCTCTCATGACTCTCGACTACGCCTTCATGACTTCCACCCTCTTCCGATCTGAACGACTGGTCTACGCCAATCTGCCACCATCTAGTTCTTCTTTGCCTCTGTGTCTTTAGACTCGCTCAGGCTATCAGCCATTGCCTCAGCAGTAGCCTTCTTCAAGCGCTCACTGTCATCAGTCTTGTCGTCCTTGGTCTTCTGATGTGTTTCCCTCTCATCTTCACTATCTCCAAGACTAAAGGGGTCGTTTTCTGCGATAGGGCTTGGCTCAACCGCCGACATGGGCTGCCACTTGCTTCCCCTTGTGCCACTCGCGGGAGCTGCATCCTTGGGTGGCACTCTAGGTGAAGAGTCATACATATTGATTTCTTCGGTTTCCTCCTTGAAACCAACTCGTCGGCCGTTGCTAGGCTTAGGCGATGTCGATGGGGGAGGGGGCTTGTACATGCCAGTATTGGCCATGGGTCGGTTCACGGGAGCTGCGAGTTGTCAACATTTGCTTCAACAATACAGGTGTCAGTACTCACTTCCATCAGAAGAAAACTTCATGCCAGCGAAATCATCGCTGAGAACTTGGGGATCCGCATCATATCGGTCATAGTCACCGCTTCGCCTGCTGGACTCTCCGGGACGACGGAAGGGCTCTCCTTGTCGTTGCGTCTGCTCTTCACTCTCATCAAAGTTCTCCTCGATCTTCTTCTTGATGTTTGTAATCCATCCGTTGACCTTTTCCTGTGTCTCGAAGAATCCCTTACGTAGGTTTTCGCGAATAACAGGGAGGTCATCGTCAATGAAGCTGTGCTCACGGTCGTCGCCCCATTCATCCTGACCTCGCTGACCCTGTCTTTGACCTCGGTTGGCAGTGCGCGACTCGTAGGCACCAACATTGTCGTAGTGTTCTGCAAGCTGGCGTGCATATAGCTCGTCTGCCTCCAATTGCGACATCTGAGTTCGGTTCTGAGGCCTAGGGGGTTGAGGCGGGGGGACTTCGTCGGCGGGTTCGTTTTGCGCAGCATCAGGATCGGTCATCTCTATGCGTATATCAGTTTATCGTGCCCTCTAGTCAGAGTTTGTATAAGCGTACCTAAGAGAGCATGGAACGCAGGCTCAACGCGACCACCACTAGCTCTCAACACAGCCTTAATAACACTCAGCTCTACAGTAGGGAAAGCTTCCTTGAGTATAGTCTCATTCTTTTGCGCTTCGGAAACAGGTCGGGGAGGCTTAGGAGGCGCTGTCTCGTTCGTGGGTGGTGGTGCCTGAGTCTGAGCCTGGGTGGTAGTGGTGTTGGTCGCAGCAGCGGGTGTAGTGTTGCTATCGAGGACGCCAGATTCCTGAACATCATCATCATCATCGAGATCAAGGGGTTGCGCAGTAGTAGGCGACTCAGGTCCGCTCTCGGCGGTGGCCTTGTTCTGGTAGGAGAAGTCATGTTAGCACAAATCCTCTAACATCAGCCATCTAAGACAGTTCTCGAAAGGAGTAGTAGTATACCGTTTCTCCAGGGGCTGACATCCTGATCGCACTTGTCGTTGGTATGATTTACTGTCAGTCTGAAGTTATCACGAGTTCACAGTCGAGATTCGATTAGAAGTCGGTTGAAAGATGGGCAATATCCAGGGAAATTGGGGATTTCGCTTCAGCCTGGCCCTGCTTGTGATATTAAGGTTGAGGCGCGAGGGGTCAATCAGTCTACACGAAGCTGATGACGTTGACCCACTCGCCACAATGCATTCTCAATGGGGAAGTTGCTCTGATTGGCTGTAGCTCTGACAGCAGTATCAAGTCTAGGGTAACTTTTCATGCGTCTCATGAAGCTTGAGTTTGGCCATAATGCTTCATGCAAAATGAATCGTGTTCAAACAAGCTGAGTTTTGTGCGCGCATAACTAGAGGAGAAAACACACAGATGGCATGAGAGGCTCTGCGTTGATCTTAAGAAAAAAGGGTCCTAAATCTATTGAAATTGTTTGAGCCAATTCAAGATGGCAGACCTGGATCTAGACGCAGCTTTTATCCCAGCTCTTCATAAGCCAGCAGCCTTGCTCCCAATTGCAAAACATCGCGAGAGCCTACTCTATGTGATTGAAAAATACCAAGTCACCATTGTTATAGGCCAAACCGGTTCGGGAAAGACAACGCAAATACCTCAGTTCCTAGAACGAGCAGGATGGTGTTCAGGCGGAAAGATCATTGGCGTCACTCAGGTAAGTAAATACAAAACCATGTCACCACACAAGCTGACGTTTCTCAGCCTCGTCGTGTCGCAGCAACCACCGTTGCTGTTAGAGTCGCCGAAGAAGTTGGTTGTGAGCTTGGCAAAGAAGTCGGATACTCGATACGGTTCGAGGACGTGACCTCGGCATCAACAAAGATAAAGTTTCTCACAGATGGCCTCCTCATCAGAGAAGCTCTCGTCGATCCATTGCTGACGCGTTACTCGGTTATTATGGTTGATGAGGCACACGAGAGGTCTATCAGCACTGATGTCTTGTTGGGCCTACTGAAGAAGATTCGCCGAAAGCGACCCGAGCTGCGTATCATCATCAGCAGTGCCACTCTCCAAGCTAAGGAGTTCCTGGAATTCTTCACAAGGAGCAGTGATGATCAGCCAAACAAAACAGACAAAAAGGATGACACCGGGGCCATCGTCAGTCTCGAAGGAAGAACATACCCAATAGACATACTCTACTTGGAGTCACCGGCAGAGAACTATGTTGAGAAAGCAATCGACGTGGTCTTTGATATCCACACCCAAGAGGGCGAAGGAGATATCCTAGTTTTCCTGACTGGCCGAGAGGAAATCGACAATGCGATTCAAGCAGTCAGCGAGCGCATGCTTGATCTTGGCTCAAAACACGGTCCCTTGATGCCATTGCCATTATATGCTGGCTTGTCTACCGAACAGCAAATGTATGTTTTTGACAAGCTACCCGAAGGCACACGAAAAGTTGTCTTTTCTACGAACATCGCCGAAGCATCAGTCACAATCGATGGAATTGTCTTCGTGGTGGATAGTGGATTCGTAAAACTGAGGGCGTATGACCCAAGGACTGGCATAGAATCACTCACTGCTACAGCGGTATCAAAAGCAGCCGCGTCGCAACGTGCTGGACGAGCTGGTCGCACAAAACCTGGAAAATGCTTCCGACTTTACACTGAGCAGAGTTACCAATCGCTGCCAGATGCCAATGTCCCTGAGCTTCAGAGGTCGAATTTGGCACCTGTCATTCTGCAACTCAAAGCTTTGGGAATAGACAATATTGTGCGGTTCGACTTTCTATCTCCGCCACCGTCTGAACTCATGGCCAAGGCTCTTGAGTTGCTGTATGCTCTAGGAGCTTTGGATGAGTATGCCAAGCTCACTCGACCTATGGGCTCAAGGATGGCCGAGTTGGCCGTTGAGCCTATGATGGCGAAAACCCTCCTAGCAGCACCGTCCTTTGGATGCCTCAGCGAAATGCTTACTATCGCGGCAATGACCAGTCTCGGAGGCAGTGTATGGTTCTCTCACGAAGGCGAGAAAAAGAAGATGGAGACATCACGCAGAAAGTTCGCCGTGGATGAAGGTGACCACTTGACTCTCCTCAACGCCTACCAAGCCTTTGTTACAAAGGGACGAAAAGAAGCAAAGTTCTGTCATGAGAACAACCTCAACTTCAAGTCCATGAGTCGAGCAGTCAGTATCAGAGCTCAACTAAAGCGGTATCTTGAGCGATTCAGCATTAATATAGATGAGACACTCGCTGGACAAGCATCACCGGAGGCGAACGTCAAAAAAGCAGAACAGATCCGCCGTTGTCTTACATCGGGCTACTTTGCCCACGCAGCAAGGATGCAGCCAGACGGAACGTTTCGCAACGTCGAGGGCAACATGGTCCTTCACGCACATCCAAGTTCACTAATGTTCAACCGCAAAGCGGATTGGGTCATCTTCCATGAAGCAATGGAGACGGGTACCAAGATATTCATCCGGGATGTCACCAAGATCGAGAAAGGATGGCTCTTGGAATATGCGCCAGAGTTTTACCAAATCACGACAGATCGGAGAGGGTGAGGGGCTGGATATGAAGGGAAATGGGGCCATCGATATGTGAAACTGCCAGGCCGGGGATAACTGGGATGGTATATGAATGGCGGTTTCAAAGCTTCGGGATCAAGGATAGCAATGTTGGTTAAGGTGTGAGGCATTTCCCCACAGTGAAAATATCATTTGCTTGATTTACAAAAGTGAGATGACATTACTGGAGGAAGCCTTGGCTGGTCAAGGGAGACCTTGATTCCGATATGAACTGCTATGGATATCCGTGGATGTTAAGCTATTAGCTTGCCTGTCAAACACTGACCGCCATTGGATCAGACGAAACCTAATGTTGATGTTTTCGTATGGTAATAGCGAGGATGACGGTGAACGGGCCGAAGGCAGGGCAAAACAGAGTTCAAAACAATCCGCAGTAAGGAGTACATATTTGCAACATGTGAAGGTAAGAGTGGTGATAGCCTCGTCTCTGGGATGTAAGGGAGCTTGATCGTCCTGACTAATATTGGTGAACGGCTCAACTACCTAATAATAAATCATCCGGCTTCCCCGGCGGATCTATGTGATATGCCGTGAGATGGCACGCGGCCGAAGTCACTGAATCAAAATTACAAGCTCCATATTGACGTAGGCGAGTGATTGGTAATTCCTGCAAAATTGAGCCATTTTAAGATTTTTTTTCTCTTCAATGTTTTGTTTGTGCGTGCATATGTAGGCAAGCTGAATACTAATGATAAGCCAGCAGGATATCGGTGACGGAGATGAGGGCAATATGCATATCTCAGCACTAGACAGCGCATAGTGGGTGAGGGTTAAAATTATGACCCACGATAAGCCAAGACCACAATGCAAGAATTCTGATGTGGGAACGATTCAGCTTTTGTGACACCGGCGATATGTATCTTGATATGAGGGAGTTGGCGATCTCGAGCAGCCACTTTGGGCTAGGTTGATAGCCAGGGGTTGAAACCAGGAAACAGACGGTGTGATTGATATCAAGTTTGACTGTGTTAGCGAAGTGAGAAGTGTTTTTTCGCTTTCATTTCAGGTGGCTTGTCACTTGTCTTGCCTTGTCTTCTTGTCTTGTCTTGCCCAGGATGACAGTCTCATCCGGTTGACCGGTAACTGGAGAGGACAATACGCTCTCGGGTTGTTACTGACACTGTCTCGAATGACTCCGTCCAAGACCATCGAGACCGTTCTCGATAGATAGAGCTCCGTATCTATTGAACTCTCTCAACTGCGTACCTGCAGCAGCCACTTCAGTTGACATGATATAGCCCCTGACGCCACTGCGGATAGGCGGGGAGGCTTTCTCCCCCCTTTATTTACTTTCCTCTTCGGGGCTTGGTCTCGTCAGAGGGGAGCTGTTCCATGACGTCCGTTGGCTGGTCTTGGTCCCGGGCCTCCACATGATTGCCGGGGTTAGCCTGGCTGCCGCTCGCGTGCCTTGCATGAAGCGCTCATAACTTAATGCATTCTTTGTGATTTTACTGGTCAGGGGTCGATTGTGCACCTGGGTTATGCGAGATTGTACCTGGTTGTGCACCCACAGGCGCATGCTGATGCTTCCCTTTGGGCTCTGCTGCTCGATATGACTGGTGGTTTTTTATGCGGGCGCTAACGGGGTGGCGAGGGCAAAAAGAGACTTTTTGGAAATTAAACGGTTGATAACTGAGTTTTGTTAATTGATTGATTGATTTTCGGATTGCTCTGCTTGAGAGAGAGTTGGTTGTTGTTGACTGTTGTCTGTCTGTGGGAATGCGGTCAATGCCTAGTTCACCAGAAGCAACCGACCTAATAATGAGCCTGTGCACTGAACATCGTACAGGGCTTCCATGGCGAGATTCTTTTCTTCTGCTCTGACCAAGGCCTCGTTGCAAACCCTTTCCATGGGATCCAGTAGGATGTCCACCTTAATCTCTCTTGGAGAAGACCTTGGAAGGGGTCTGGAAGTGAACAAGGGTTCAACCTGGTGTCACTCCATCTCGCTCCGTGTGAATCCCCTGATTGGGATATCGGTTAAGAGCTATGCTAGCTAAAGCAAGGCTCATTCATTGTCTGGGATGGACGGGACCTGACCTGATCCATGAGTAGTCATTACCCCCCGCCCCTGGCCTGGTTGTCTGGGCCTGTGTTGGACGGCCCCTCAGGCATTAGTCCGTGGGAGAACAGCGAGTCCTGTCGCTGTAGCAGGACATCTGAGGCCCTAGAATGACACTCCAGGTACCGGCTTTCGAGGCTGTCCTTGGTGGAGGCTCCAACTCCTGTGCCTCTCCCGTCGTGCTCCACTCCTACACCTCCACCCACTCGCTAGCCTCCTCCTCCTCTTTACCTACTCTCCTTCTCTCGTCCATTCGTCGTTCCTTTCTTTCGTTCTCCAACTGTTCATCGGTCGACGACGACAGCATCATATCGTTCTGCATTTTTGCCAAAGCTGCCTGCCAGCGGGCTCGTCACTCTTTTATAAAACACTGCTTAATCTAGAGTCTTGTTTACACCAGCCAGACTCGAGTCATTCGTTTCGTAACGGTCTATTGCTTTAATGACCTAGTCTCTCTTTACACAACAACAAATATCACAGCCGCTCGCTCACTCGCTTTTGCTCGCTGGCTTTTGTCTTTGTCCAGTCTTGTCCTTCTCGATATTACGGTGCCCAATATCTGCTTTGACGCTTCTCGCGATCCTTGGACGAAAACGATTTCAGATTCATTCGAATACCGTATCAAATCGGAGACGATAATACTCGACGCGTGCCAGCCGTCTACCGACATTGTCAATCGCATTACAGCTTAATGGTTATGACAGTTGTGCTTGGAGTTTAATATTCGACAATTCTTAATATTCTCACGCCCATTTCGCTTTTTCGCGGAGGAATTCACACTTGACGATCAACCTCTCGTTTGTTTGGAAGCTTTGAGTATATGCGCTAGCATATAACGCCAACATGGGGATCGCTCATTACGAAGGTGCTCGCCTTCGACCTCGCACCAACATTGAAGATGTCTCTTCAGCTTCCAAAAATGGAGTCGCATCGTCTTCCTCGATCTTTCGTCGACTCGTCACCCGAGAGAACTGCCAAGCGACGGACAGTTGTGCAGCAGCCAGCGCCAACACGAACTTGGTAGTTCCCATCGTTGTCGCCATTGTGTATGCTACCAGCCACGCCTTTGTTTTGTCGTTTTCGGATGGTCAACTGGATCGCGATATGCTGACTATGTTATGTGTAGGGTTCCTATCGTTCTTATCGCAATCTTCTTGTACTACCTCCATCGTAAGAACATGAAGAGGCAGATGCTTGAGGATATCAATGATCCTCACAAGAGCCTGGACTTTGGGCTCGACGGCGCCGGCGGAAAGAAGTCTACCCGTCGAAGTCTCTTTATGGGAGGGGGTGAGAAGGGCCCCAACCATAAACCCAGTCAGCTCTCGATGGATATGAACCTCTCTTCGCCCTACCTGCTGCCACCCGGTCTGCAGGAGTCGCGAGAGTCGCTCAACTCGTTGGCTAAGTCTTTGGGAAATGATAATCAGGACCCTTACCAGTATGTCGCGACCATCACGCAAAGCGAGACCGGCTCATTGCGGTCCTTTAATCCCAAGGATTCCCTCTCGCACAATACTAAATTCAGTAGTCCTCGTAACTCTGGCAAGCCTGGTAGCATGAAGATGCCCCCATCTCGCATGAACTCCCTGCCCGAGACGCCTGTCTCTGCCACCGACTCCAAGGTCGATCCTTTCGGGACTCCCAAGGCGCCTGCGCCAACCCACCAGCCGAACTCTCACTTCGACGAGAAGGATGGATTCCAGCCTGCTCCAATCATCCCTGAGATTGGAGTGGTCTCCGATTTTGATGAGAAGCATGACGGCGCCTCCGTACAGCCACCTCCCGCAGTGAGGAGCAAGACTCCTGAGTTTGAGTTGCCCCACTTCTCCTCGGAGCCCGCCAACGATTTCCCTCTACCTCCTGCCAGGGAGCATGAGGCCACCGGTCTGGGTTTGAACTTCTCTCTTCCTCAGCCTAAATCCCCAACTGTGACTTCCCCTGATGCTCCCAAGTCCGCTCCTCTCCCTCACGACCGCCGGAGTGATGGTTCCAATTATCAGTCCTACACCCCCGCGGCTGACATTTCAAGTTACTACGAAGACCATGAGGACGATTCTCGTGGTCGCACCATGCAACGTACCTCATTCGTGGAGGATACACCTCAGTACCAAGGCCTAGGAGTTCCCCAGCAGGATAACAAGAGACTTTCAGTTGGATTCCGTCCCCTTCCTCCGGATGAGATCACAGAGTCTGAGGACCCCGAATACCGTGCCAACCGTATCCGTTCTTTCTACAAGGAGTATTTCGAGGATACTAAGGAGGCACCCCCGCCTATGCCCCCCATGCCCCCAATGGCCCAGGGCAGACCCGGTCCTCAGTATTACGAGGATGTTGACCAAGGCTACATGATGGGCGGTGATGGAGCTTACTTTGATCCTGAGACAAATGCCTTCGTCATGCCCTACGCCCAGCCCGTCACTCGCCGTGCCATGACACCTCCCCCAGCTGGCCGCCGCCCTGGTCCTGGTCGTCCCGGACCTCGTCCTCGTGGTCCCAACGGTTCTATCGGTGGTATGAGCTACCAGAGCGGGCCTGGAGGACGTTCCCGTGCTGGTTCTGCTCTTGGCCCTCGACCTGATTCTTCAGCCTCAGCTCGCATCCGACAACCCCCCAGGAAGAGACTTCCACCACCCGCACCCTTGACCACTCTCCCAACTCCGTCCAAGCTCAAGGATGATAACATCGCCCTCATCAACGCTGCTGACTTTGCTCCTCCCAACACCATCCGTGACACTGCCGCTGGTCGCTCTCAAAGTCCCTTCGGCGAGCGACGACCTTACTCGCCTTCCGTTCCTGCTGCCCAGACTCTTGTCTCGCCTTTCGAGGAGTTGACCGCTCTCCCCAGCCCGTAAGTTCCACGTCACTACGCAACCAGATAAACTTTGAGCTAATGTACAACAGCCATCTTCTC